GGGGAGTGTTGGAGGACTGGTTAGTGTTGGAGAATGTGAGGGGGGGAGGGGAGTGTTGGAGAACTTGTGGGGGGAGGGGTTAAATGTTTGAAGGATTAGTCTATAAGGGCGACTGACAGCTGGGTGGACAGCGCTTCGGATTTGTAGTCCTGAGGTTACGGGTTCGAGCCCCGGTGGAGGCGGAGACAAATAGGCAAAATGTTTCTTTCACCCTGATGCCCCTGTTACCTAGCACTAAATAGGTATCTGGGAATTAGACAGCTGCTACGGGCTGCTTCCTGGGGGTAGAGGCCTGGTCGAGGACCGGGCCGCGGGGACGTTAAGCCCCGAAATCATCTCAAAATAACCTCAAGATGTTTAAGCACTGACGTGGTAACACATATACAAAGGTAGCCAGCATATATATATACACACATGTGGTCCTGACCGCCACACACCTGTTCGCCCATACCCACCGTATGGGGACCTACTTAACCCTCACCTCACAAGGGGATTAAGTTGCACACAGAAATCACAATAGCGTGATTCATCAAATGAATAAATCCACAATGGAGTGCATGGGTGAGTTGTGTAAAACCCTGGTGTGTGTCTAGGAGAGGCTGCAGGATCCAAGTAAGTTCAGTAGAACTTCTGGTTTCAGCTCTTTTGACCATGTAGCTCAGTCGAATAAGGCAGCGTCTGGGATGCTCTCGGACGTAGGCTCGAATCCTCGTCACGGCCCTTGTGGATTTATTCAGTTGAATAAGATGCATATTTTTTGTTCAAGATCAACACAATTATATCTTAGACACACTACATAACCGGTGCCTCAAGTAGTCAATACCTAGAGGTACAGGTGCAGAACATGTTCAAGTGTTCCAGGTATTCAGGGAATAGTTACACAGTTCAGCATATCTCTACCCTGGAGGGAGGAAGGGGCCAGGGAGGAGAGTCAGTCAATATGAGCCATTGCACAATATAATGTTGAAGGTAATGCATGTTTCCTCTCTCTGTTGAGGGAGTCGACCCCTGGCAGGTCACCGCGGGTCGCAGACGACACCCTCCACCAGCCGAGGGTCACGCCGCCATCAGAGTCCTCGCCAGCCTGGACGTGTCTCCTCAGTGTTCGGCGCCTTTGTTTACATATATTACTGTGTTCGTGAGCGCCGAGGTCCTGGCACGCTGGTCACACCAACAGTAACAAGTGATTGTAAAGTGTCCACGCTCGTAAACTGTTTAATGATTGGTAAACAAAGCCGCTAAAGATTGAGAGACGATGTATAGGTTCATAAGTATAATGATGTGTAAATGTTTCGTGAATCCTGGCCAGGGACCACACCCTAGACCACACCCTGGACCATACCGTGGCCCACACCCTGCATCCCCCTGGCCCACACCCTGTGGGCCACACGCTTGGTCGCACCGTAGACCATATGCCCCGAGACCACATCCTAGACAACAAACACCCCAGATCATCGGCCACACCGTAGGCCACACCCTACAACACACCCCACAACACACCCCACAACACACCCCTACAACACACCCTACAACACACCCCCACAACACACCCTAGCTCACAACACCATTACAATTGATTTCAAGTCAAGAGGCAAAATTAGATTTGGGTGTTTCTCTCTTTTTACACTTCTTAGCTAAGCCTCCTGTGGATCTCTAACATCTCGATCACGTCTCCTCTCTCCCACCTAGACCATTGCCAGTCGGGTTTGGCCAGCCTTGTCTCGTGGTGTAGTCAACTTGGGAGGGAACACTCCTCTTGCATAATGGTAAACACATCCCTACACCGACAACTCCCCCCCCCTCTCTCATTATATATCCCTCTCACAATCCCTCCCCCCCCCCTTCCACACTCTCTCTTCCCTGCCTGACTGTCCCCTCTCCTCTTTCCTTCTCTCCCTCCCATTCCCCTTTGTCCAGCCACTTGGGCTGGACGGTAGAACGACGGTCTCGGTTCATGCAGGTCGGCGTTCAATCCCCGACCGTCCAAGTGGCTCCCATTCCTCCCCTATCCCCCCCCCCCCGTCCCATCCCAAATCCTTATCCTGACCCCTTCCCAGTGCTATATAGTCGTAATGGCTTGGCGGTTTCTCCTGATCCATCCCTTCCCTCCCCCCCCCCCCCTCTCTCCCCCTTTATCAGTATCGAATAATTATGCAAACTGGATCTGATCAGACGGCTTAACTCTGCCAGTAGAACCAACCACCAATATCAAGCTCCCTCCTCTCTGTGTATGTATCTAGTGGTGCTTACCTGTGCTTGCGGTGGTGGAGCTCTGGCTCTTTGGTCCCGCCTCTAAACAGTCAATCAACTACTGTACAGATTCCTGAGCCTACTGGGCTCTTTCCTATCTATACACACACACTTGTGTATGTTTGTGTGTGTGTTTACTCACCTATTTCTACTCTTATATTTGTGTCTGCAGGATCGAGCTTTGACTCTTGGATCCCGCCTTTCTAGCCATGGGTTGTTTACAGTAATGACTCCGGTCCCATTTCCCTATCATACCTAGTTTTAAAATTATGAATAGAGTTTGCTTCCACAACCTGTTCCTGAAGTGCATCCCATTTTTCCCACTACTCTCACGCTAAAAGAAAACTTCCTAACATCTCTGTGACTCATCTGAGCTTCCAACTTCCACCCATGTCCCCTCGTTCTGTTACTATTCCGTGTGAACATTTCGTCTATGTCCACTCTGTCAATCCCCCAAAGTATTTTATACGTTCCTATCATAACCCCCCCTCCCCCTCTCCCTTATTTTTTTTCTAGTGTCGTAAGGCTCAGCTCATTCAGACGCTCTTCATATCCCATCCCTTGTAACGCTGGGACGAGACTTGTTGCCAACTTCTGAACCTTTTCCAGTTTCCTTATGTGTTTCTTCAGGTGGGGACTCCATGATGGGGCTGCATACTACAAGACTGGTCTCACGTAGGCAGTGTAAAGCGCCCTAAAAGCCTCCTTACTTAGGTTTCTGAATGATTTTCTAACTTTTGCCAGTGTAGAGTACGCTGCTGTCGTTATCCTATTTATATGTGCTTCAGGAGTTAGATTAGGTGTTACGTCCACGACCAGGTCTCTTTTTCGAGTTGTCACAGGTAGGAAGTTCCCCTTCATTGTGTACTGTCCCTTTGGTCTCCTGTCACCTAATCCCATTTCCATAACTTTACATTTGCTCGTGTTGAACACTGGATACCGAATGGGAGATGAAGTCCTTCACGAAACAACCAGAGAGAAAGATCTAGGAGTTGATATCACGGCAAACCTTTCTCCTGAAGCCCACATCAAAAGAATAAGAAACCGTCTTCAGAAACCTGTGTAACGAATCTTTCAAAACCCTGTATACCACATATGCAAGGCCAATCCTGGAGTATGCGGCCCCAGCATGGAGCCCGTACCTTGTCAAGCACAAGAATAAGCTGGAAAAAGTTCAGAGGTATGCCACTAGGCTAGTCCCAGAACTAAGAGGCATGAATTACGAGGAAAGGCTGCGTGAAATGTGCCTCACGTCGCTGGAAGACAGGAGAGCTCGGGGAGACATGATCACCACATAGAAAATTCTCAGAGACATTGACAGGGTAGACAAGGAAGGATTATTTAACACGGGTGGAACACGCACAAGAGGACACAGGTGGAAGCTGAGTTCCCAAATGAGCCACAGAGACATTAGAAAGAACTTTTTCAGTGTCAGAGTAGTTAACGGATGGAATGCATTAGGCACTGATGTGGTGGAGACTGACTCCATACACAGTTTCAAATGTAGATATGATAGAGCCCAATAGGCTCAGGAATCTGTACACCAGTTGATTGACGGTTGAGAGGCGGGACCAAAGAGCCAGAGCTCAACCCCCGCAAGCACAACTAGGTAAATACACAGAGAGGAGGGAGCGTGATGGTGGTGGTTGGTTCTACTTGCAGAGTAAGGCGTCTGATCAGATCTAGTTTGCATAATTATTCGAGTGTGGTGAGTGTGTGTGCGCGGGGGGGGGAGAGAGAGAGAGAGAGAGAGAGAGAGAGAGAGAGAGAGAGAGAGAGAGAGAGAGAGAGAGAGAGAGAGAGAGAGAGAGAGAGAGAGAGAGAGAGAGAGAGAGAGGAGAGAGAGAGAGGAGAGAGAGAGAGAGAGAGAGGAGAGAGAGGAGAGAGAGAGAGAGAGAGAGAGAGAGGGAGAGAGAGGAGAGAGAGAGATGAGAGAGAGAGAGAGAGAGAGAGAGAGAGAGAGAGAGAGAGAGAGAGAGAGAGAGAGAGAGGAGAGAGAGAGAGAGAGAGAGAGAGAGAGAGAGAGAGAGAGAGAGAGAGAGAGAGAGAGAGAGACAGAGAGAGAGACAGAGAGAGAGGAGAGAGAGAGAGAGAGAGAGAGAGAGAGAGAGAGAGAGAGAGAGAGAGAGAGAGAGAGAGAGAGAGAGAGAGAGAGAGAGAGAGAGAGAGAGAGAGAGAGAGAGAGAGAGAAGAGAGAGAGAGAGAGAGAGAGAGAGAGAGAGAAGAGAGAGAGACAGACAGAGAGAGAGACAGAGAGAGAGACAGAGAGACAGAGAGAAAGAGAGAGACAGAGAGAGAGAGAGACAGAGAGAAAGAGAGACAGAGAGAAAGAGAGAAAGAGAGAAAGAGAGAGAGAGACAGACAGAGACAGACAGACAGAGATTATATATATATATATATATATATATATATATATATATATATATATATATATATCGCGCGCGTCGCCTGCTACACGTCCTCCCCATCCACTGTGTATGGACTCAGCCTCCACCACATCACTGCCTAGCAGTATGCACTAGGAAGTAATGTGGTGGAGGTTCACTCCATACACTTTCATATAAAGACATAATAAGAACCCAATAGGTTCAAGGAACCTGTACACCCGTTGACTGAAGGCGGGACCCAAGAGCCGAAGCTCAACCCCCGCAAGCACAACTAGGTTCTCTTGCTATTTTGGGGCTACAAGGGTGTGTCTCTCACATCAGCTCCGTCGTCAGTGGTGGAGTGGCGGAGATCGAGGCTCCCAGATGAGTGGCGGAGATCGAGGCTCCCAGATGAGTGGTGGAGATCGAGGCTCCCAGATGAGTGGTGGAGATCGAGGCTCCCAGATGAGTGGTGGAGATCGAGGCTCCCAGATGAGTGGCGGAGATCGAGGCTCCCAGATGAGTGGTGGAGATCGAGGCTCCCAGATGAGTGGTGGAGATCGAGGCTCCCAGATGAGTGGTGGAGATCGAGGCTCCCAGATGAGTGGTGGAGATCGAGGCTCCCAGACGAGTGGCGGAGATCGAGGCTCCAAGACGAGTGGTGGAGATCGAGGCTCCCAGATGAGTGGTGGAGATCGAGGCTCCCAGATGAATAGCTTGACCCTGAGGCAGGTGTGTGTGTGTGTGTGTGTGTGTGTGTGTGTGTGTGTGTGTGTGTACTCACCTAATTGTACTCACCTAATTGTGCTTGCGGGGGTTGAGCTCTGGCTCTTTGGTCCCGCCTCTCAACCGTCAATCAACTGGTGTACAGATTCCTGAGCCTATTGGGCTCTATCATATCTACATTTGAAACTGTGAATGGAGTCAGCCTCCACCACATCACTTCCTAATGCATTCCATTTGCTAACTACTCTGACACTGAAAAAGTTCTTTCTAACGTTTCTGTGGCTCATTGGGTACTCAGCTTCCACCTGTGTCCCCTTGTTCGCGTCCCACCAGTGTTGAAAAGTTCATCCTTGTTTACCCGGTCGATTCCCCTGAGGATTTTGTAGGTTGTGATCATGTCCCCCTTACTCTTCTGTCTTCCAGTGTCGTGAGGTGCATTTCCCGTAGCCTTTCCTCATAACTCATGCCTCTTAGTTCTGGGACTAGTCTAGTAGCATACCTTTGGACTTTTTCCAGCTTCGTCTTGTGCTTGACAAGGTACGGGCTCCATGCTGGGGCCGCATACTCCAGGATTGGTCTTACATATGTGGTGTACAAGATTCTGAATGATTCCTTACACAGGTTCCTGAACGCCGTTCTGATGTTAGCCAGCCTCGCATATGCCGCAGACGTTATTCTCTTTATGTGGGCTTCAGGAGACAGGTTTGGTGTGATATCAACTCCTAGATCTTTCTCTCTGTCTGTTTCATTAAGTACTTCATCTCCTATTCTGTATCCTGTGCCTGGCCTCCTGTTTCCACTGCCTAGTTTCATTACTTTGCATTTACTCGGGTTGAACTGTGTGTGTGTGTGTGTGTGTGTGTGTGTGTGTGTGTGTGTGTGTGTGTGTGTGTGTGTGTGTGTGTGTGTGTGTGTGTGTGTGTGTGTGTGTGTGTGTGTGTGTGTGTGTGTGTGTGTGTGTGTGTGTGTGTGTGTGTGTGTGTGTGTGTGTGTGTGTACTGTGTGTGTGTGTGTGCTGAGGCAGGCTGACGTGCCTGCCAGGGGAGGCACTCGGACCAGTCAAGGAAGGTCTCAACAACAGTCGCCCAGCAAACCGCCTCACTTACCCAATGGCACTGTAGGAGGCGTGAGTAAGCGGAGGACAGCTTGGAGGAGGAGGAGGAAGAGGAGGAGGAGGAAGAAGAAGAAGAAGAAGGAGGAGGAGGAGGTGGAGAGTGTGCGAGGCATAAAGAGCAGGCCACTCGTGCCAGGAGGACACACTCCAGAGCATCACACCCAGACGCCCCGACACAGATCTCATCAGCGAGCGCCTCCACCCATGTCACCCCCGGCTCTCTCACCCCCCCCCCGGCCCTCTCACCCCCGGCCCTCTCACCCCCCCGGCCCTCTCACACCCCCGGCCCTCTCACCTCCTTCCCGGCCCTCTCTCCCCCTCCCCGGCCCTCTCACCCCCTCCCCGGCCCTCTCACCCCCCGGCCCTCTCACCCCCCCCCGGCCCTCTCACCCCCGGCCCTCTCACCCCCGGCCCTCTCACCCCCCGGCCCTCTCACCCCCGGCCCTCTCACACCCCGGCCCTCTCACCTCCTCCCCGGCCCTCTCACCCCCTCCCCGGCCCTCTCACCCCCCGGCCCTCTCACCCCCCGGCCCTCTCACCCCCCCCCCGGCCCTCTCACCCCCGGCCCTCTCACCCCCGGCCCTCTCATCCCCCCCCCGGCCCTCTCACCCCCGGCCCTCCACAACCACACTGTATCTCAACAGTTTATCCTTTATCCTAAGAAAAAAACAGTTTAGTGATTGACAGTTGAGAGGCGGGCCGAAAGAGCCAGAGCTCAACCCTCGCAAGCACAACTAGGTGACTACACACACGCGCGTGCACGCACACCTACACACCCCTTCATCCCTACTCAGCTATCTTGTGATGAAATTTGTTAGTTAATGGACTCTGCCCCAGTCACAGTGATGGGAGTACAACCGTACTTAGTCAAGGCAGCGTTGGTTCACAAGTCCGCCTCAGCACCAGAAAGGAGGCCTATGACCATCATTCCCCTGGATACTGTGGATCAAGGCGACTGTTATGACAAGCACGAGGAACCTGCCAGGAACTGCCTGGCACAACAAGGTGGTGAGAGGTGGGGGCATTCTGCCCCCACCTCTCACCACCTTAACTCTCCTGAGGCCAGATTCCTGAAGCAGTTACGTCCGTCCTTATGAACGTGTTTCTTTTTAGCATCTTCCTAGTGGCCACGTCGGTATTCAGGTAGGCATTTAAGTATGGAAATTTTCTTAAGTACACCGCCTGGTGCTAAGAGTGCTCTCGACCACTCGTAGCTTTACGTAAACTGGATATAACTTATTTTTTCTCTACTACACAAACGGGAGGATCAATTTTATTGTAAACAAACATTTTTGCTGGCAAGTTTCATCAAGAAGTCCTTCGTGTTAGCTATACCCGGGCCCTTTCTGGGCATGTACCCGGGTCCTTTCTGGGCCTGTACCCGGGCCCCTTCTGGGCCTTCTTTATCCAAAGAAGTGAAAAATTGAGACATACTGCACAATTTAATGATTCAAAAGAAATATTGATAACATTGTCGTCATCTTTTCATCTTCTAGTTTATGGTTTGGTCAACATTACTAACATTACATATCAATATGAGATCTTAATGATCCATGGTTAACATTTATGATTTAATAAGGATAATACTGGTAATAATACTAATACAAGCTATAATTTAAAACCTTTATTACTGATTTCTTTTTATTATCAAGCTTAGGTATACGCAGCAATGTGCTGCTTCCCTATTCTGTATGATCTACCACACAGTGTAGATCAAAAACTAGCTACAAGCTCATCCAACATCCCCACCTCACAGGACAGCCTGTCATACATGGAATCAGGAGAGAACAAGGAATGTAAGGCTGATCTATTAGCCTCCACTAGCAAAATCTGGGTACAGCACAAGAATATCTTCCAATATTCCTGAGTGTATGAAGTAATTACGGAGATCAAAGTACCTCATACCATTTACTCTGAAGTCACTGATAACAGGGCAATCACAGATATACTGTTGGAGTGTCCTCTCAAGTAGGACTGAAAACAGAATATTTTTTTTCACCCAGAGGGTTATAAACCCATAGAACCGCCTACCCGCTGAAGCCGTAAATGCCAAAATCCAGCTAGAAAATATCATTAGGACAATTGGCGGGACCTTTAACAAGCCGCCGGCTTTCTGTCCTTCTCGAGGCCACTAGATAGTGGCCCTTGGGTAAATTTAGGTAAATATATACGTAAATAAATACCATTGCTTCTCAAATCTTGGGAGCGACAAAGAAAGCCACTCAATATCTCTTAGAATTACGTAGGTAAACAAAAAATGTAACATATTTGTATACAACAATGTCGGTGCTGGCTGTTGAAGTTGAAGGCTGAATGTCTGGCTCTATCATATCTACACTTGAAACTGTGTGTGTGTGTGTGTGTGTGTGTGTGTGTGTGTGTGTGTGTGTGTGTGTGTGTGTGTGTGTGTGTGTGTGTGTGTGTGTGTGTACTCACTTAGTTGTGCTTGCTGGGGTTGAGCTCTGGCTCTTTGGTCCCGCCTCGACTGTGTGTCCCGTGTGTGTGCGTCTGTGTTTGTGTGCGTCTGTGTGTAAATATATCCCAACTCCACCTTCAGGGGCGAGTTCAGATGGCCATTCAGTCAAGTATTTGAACAAGTTTCCAAGTGTCAAGAAAGAAGGCCGTGTTTGGGCTAGTGCTTCACAGTTACAATGTTCCCCACAGCCTCGAGTTCTCAAGATTTGTTTAACTAATTTTCACTCTTGGATAAAATTAAACTCGAATATACACGATAGAATTAATGAGAATAAAAGACAGGCGCTCGACCCGCGTTGCTACAACCAACCCCATGTTGCTTCCACCCGCCCCCCCCCCCGTCCCCGCGTTGCTTCCCCCACCCCCCCCCCCCCCCGCGTTGCCTCGCCCCACTCGTGCAAGCGCGCGTGTGCACGCCTGCATGACTTTATGAGAGCGCGTGCACCCAAACATGTGTGTGTGCTCGCTTATGTATGTGTGTGTGTGTGTAACTATTTAGTGTAGCAGTTCTCGAGCCCTTATCTTGAGATGATTTCGGGGCTTTAGTGTCCCCGCGGCCCGGTCCTCGACCAGGCCTCCACCCCCAGGAAGCAGCCCGTGACAGCTGACTAACTCCCAGGTACCTATTTACTGCTAGGTAACAGGGGCATTTAGGGTGAAAGAAACTTTGCCCATTTGTTTCTGCCTCGTGCGGGAATCGAACCCGCGCCACAGAATTACGAGTCCTGCGCGCTATCCACCAGGCTACGAGGCCCCTTCAGTAGGAGAGGCGAGGATGTGTGGCTGCTGGTTTCCACTGTGAAGCACAAACATTGTCTGTGGTTGCTTGCTCAACAAACTTACTACACAATATGTTTTTTTATATAGATCTCTATAACCCCAGTCTAAGGAGGACTCAGGATAATGAGTCCATGTTGATTAATATTGTATGACTTATGGTCACGTCTGTGGTAGAAGCAAAACAATGCTGCCCTCCACTTGGCGACCACAAGCAACAAAACAGTGGCCCAAAATACTTGTTTAATGTAGTCAGAGTAACGAGGGGGGGAGGGGGTAATTACGCTGCACACGTCGCACTGTTCAAGCCGAGTTGGTCATTAGTGCACAAGCGGCCCTGTCCATGTCTGTAAGCCTGGAGGAGTCGCACAGTGATGCTCACCACTGACATGTACTCTTCTCTCCAGCTATACAAACTGTGGTGGTTCATGCTCACTTAGTTATTAAATGGATATATACATACAGAATTATTACAATGCAAGGACTGTTTATAAATACATTATTAACACTAGAATACTCGGCCAGAGCTCCACTCGTGGCCACCACAACACTCGGGGCCACCACAACACTCGGGGCCACCACAACACTCGTGGCCACCACAACACTCGTGGCCACCACAACACTCGTGGCCACCACAACACTCGTGGCCTCCACAACACTATAATCATGACCACTCTTACCTTGAGGTTATTTTGAGATGTTTCCGGAGCTTAGCGTCACAGCCTGGTTGATCAGGTATCCTCTGGAGGTGCTTATCCAGCTCTCTCTTGAACACTGTGAGGGGTCGGCCAGTTATGTCCCTTATGTGTAGTGGAAGCGTATTGAACAGTCTCGGGCCTCTGATGTTGATAGTTCTCTCTCAGAGTACCTGTTGCACCTCTGCTCTTCAACGGGGCTATTCTGCACATCCTGCCATGCCTTCTGGTCTCATGTGGTATTTCTGTGTGCAGGTTTGGGACCAGCCCCTCTACTATTTTCCACGTGTAAATTATTATGTATCTCTCCCGCCTGCGCTCAAGAGAATACAGGTTTAGGCTCTTTAGTCGGTCCCAATAGTTTAGATGTTTTACTGAGTGGATTCTAGCAGTAAAGGATCTCTGCACGCTCTTCAGGTCAGCAATTTCTCCAGCTTTGAAAGGGGCTGTCATTGTGCAGAATCTCTTCGCTATAGAAGTGTAGCCAAGGTTGCAACTTATTAACAAAACACAAATATCTCTGTAGTACATGTTGCTCGACCACTCATTGTGCAACATGCATGTCACTTCACCGCTCATTGAGGCGAATTGCGTAAGTCGAGCGTTAATTCCATAGGGACGTACCGTAGGTGATTTATTGAAGATCATCACTTCTATGAATTACTTAATACGCCCGTCCTCTCCCATTGTGCTATCAGGATAAGGTTACCACAAGGATCAACTCAGAGGCCGCCTTATACCACCTGTGCCTGGTTGTGGTGGGAGGGGGGGGCTTGTCCTGCACATCAGAGCCTCGACCTCTGACCCGATAATGAGTGGGTTGAGCAGCTGTGTCACGCGTCACAGTCGCCTCTCATTAGCTATAAGAGGTCATAGGACTGGGAGGAGGATTGATTTTTGAGCTGTTATCAAGCGCCATCTTAAGTGGCCAGAATAAGCAGGCAATAACACTACATGAAGAATAATAGCCGTGACGTGTTGGGAACCGCCGCGTGTCCAACCACTTGGGCTGGACGGTACAGCGACGGTCTCGCTTCATGCAGGTCGGCGATCAATCCCCGACCGTCCAAGTGGTTGAGCACCATTCCTTTCCCCCATCTCAAATCCTTATCCTGACCCCTTCCCAGTGCTATATAGTCGTAATGGCTTGACGCTTTCTCCTAATAGTACTCTTCCCTACCTCGTGGGTGGGCATGACTCATATTACGCCTAATACTGTTAGAATGGACCGAGGTATGACAACACGTGGACGCCACACACCAGTTGACTGACAGGTGAGAGGCGGGACCAAAGAGCCAAAGCTCAACCCCCACAAGCACAACCAGGTGATTACAATTAGGTGAGCACGCGCGGTGACACGTTCACATATGAAAGTTAAAATGTTAACTTGTTAAAATAAAAATAAAGTTAAAATAAAACTTGAAAGATGCGTGTAAAATATGAAAATTAGCTGTATTAGTATTAATTATAATAATAATAATAATAAATATAACAACAAATAATTATTATTGTCGTTACTATTCTTAAATGTGTAAAAGCGTGGTAGGAGCAGGAGATGAAACCAGCAGGAAGAATGGTGGTTCAGCCATTATGGCATGAAATTAGCACAGCCGGAGCCTCGTACATAGCGCCGTAACTGATCCTCACACACATTAAATAAATTCCAGCCAAATTACTCCAAACTTTTAGCGGCAGTAGTATTAAGTTTGTAGACGGGCGAGAAGCAATGTATTTGTGTCATCTGGTGGGCGATGATCACCGCCCTCATGATGAGCACACCCAGTAACACAACCACATACCAGATGTATTCATCATTCATACTCATCAAACAACCAAGAAATACTAAGAGATGAAAGTAGATGTTAGCGAGTTGGACTTCGTGTTATGTATGACTCTCGACCTGGTTGATTACCTGGAATTACCTAATTATTCTTTCAAGTATTTTGCAGGGGATGCTAGTCAGTGATACGGGTCTGTAGTTAAGTGCCTCCTCCCTATCACCTGTCTTGAAAACCGGTACGACATTTGATACCTGGTTGATACCTGGTTGATGGGGTTCTGGGAGTTCTTCTACTCCCCAAGCCCGGCCCGAGGCCAGACTTGATTTGTGAGAGTTTGGTCCACCAGGCTGTTGCTTGGAGCGGCCCGCAGGCCCACATACCCACCATAGCCCGGTGTCACTCTTCACTGTGTGCACTCGTGGGTCGCAATGGATCTTTATGCACTCACGTTACTCTACACGAGCACTCTGTGGCGCAGTAGTCTTCACGCGATGGTCGAGGGAGCAAGAAAATCAGGATTCGGACCCTGACGGGGGTGTGCCTCTACACTCTCCTCCGCCTGACGCCCCGTACATAGTGGACCTGGGCGTGCCACGAGTGCCATACCCGTGCATGGTGGGGAATGTGGCATCCAGTGACCTAGCTGGCTCCTCCCTTGCCCCCCTTACCCTCTCCCACCTGCCCCCCCCCACCCCTCAGGTACTCAAGACCTGAGGATAAATCTACCTCCTCCCCTCCCCTCCCCCCCCCACCCCCACCCCTCCTCAGCTATTGTTACGTCTCAGTATCAGAGAAATACTGATACTCACAGGTTGAATAGGATATATTTTGCATACAAAGGGAATGATTGCATATTGTGTATATATATATTGGTGGGCTGATATATATATTGTGTTTATAATGTGTGATAGTATTGTCTAGTGTCCTCCACTGTATGAGGAAGGGCTTGCCGTCAGTGGACAGGTTCTATTCAGGCGTCACACGTGTACAGTGGGTGAGGACTGGTGTTGTCCAGTGTGTGATGCCACCGTGTTGCTCCCTTTGTAAAAGTAAATGTTTCATTTAAGTCCTTTAACAATGTTATGCTTTTAGTTATTATACCATAATGCATGTATTACAATGTTAATATAATTGTGTCTGATCGAGAGTGATTATGTCAGTCTGTAGTGTGTTAGTAAAGAGTTATTAATCAGACTTTGTTACTTTGGGGGGGGGGAGGAGGGAAGGAAGTATCAGAGGAAAGCGCCAAGGCATTACGACTATATAGCACTGGGAAGGGATCAGGATATGGATTTCGGATGGGACGGTGGGAAAAGGAATGGTGCCCAACCACTTGGACGGTCGGGGATTGAACGCCGACCTGCATGAAGCGAGACCGTCGCTCTACCGTCTACTCCAAGTGGTTGGACCGAAGGGGGGAGGAGGAGGCGTCGGTGTGGTGGCCTCAGAGCGCCCAAGAGACTGGTGGGGTCTTGGGGACAGATGTCTTAAGTTTATTTCTTTTCTTCTGCATGTAGTTGATAGTCATCTGAGGAGACATTAAATAATATAAGCTATCTAAAGTCCAGACTAGATATCTTAACTCAGTGATTATGTTGTGTCATGTAATAAGAAATTTATATTGACCAGACCACACACTAGAAATTGAAGGGACGACGACGTTTCGGTCCGTCCTGGACCATTCTCAAGTCGATTGTGAAAATTCTCACAATCGACTTGAGAATGGTCCAGGACGGACCGAAACGTCGTCGTCCCTTCAACTTCTAGTGTGTGGTCTGGTCATCATACTTTTATATACATTTTTACTCTTTCGGTTATTAAATTGTTTCTACCAAGAGCATCCTGGTTTATCTAGTAAATACATGGTATTATTAACCCTAGATAATTATGTGTGCGACTGTTACCTGTGCCGACAGGAGGACAGATAACAGCTATCCAATACCAGGATGGCGCTACCTCTCCTGCCACGCCCCCCCCCCCTTCCCCAGCTATCTAAGACCAGGATTTATCTACCTCTCCTGCTACACCCCCCACCCCCCTCTCCCTCAGCTATCCAAGACCAGGATGTATCTACCTCTCCTGCCACCCCCCCCCCCCTCAGCTATGTAAAAGTTCTCCACACGCTCAAGACTTATTAAGAAAACCTTTTTTGTCGGCGCCCCGTTTAAAGTTTGTCAATATGAGACTTATAATGAACTTTATGAGACAACTTCGCGTCAGACAGCTCGCTGCGTTTATATCTTTCTCTTGGTCGTCTGCCAGACCCGTACTCATGGTTCCCTCCTCCCACCCCCTGCAACCATGCCTCCCATAATCAGGGTAAAGCGCCAAGCCATTACAACTATATAGCACCGGAAAGGGATCAGGATAAGGATTTGGGATGGGACAGTAGGAGAAGGAATGGTGCCCAACCACTTGGACGGTCGGGGATTGAACGCCGACCTGCACGAAGCGAGACCGTCGCTCTACCGCCCAGTCCAAGTGGCTGGACATAGGTTACCGTGGAGTGACCGCCCATAAAATGAGTAAACAGGTATAGCAGGTAAAGTATTGGTGGAGATATTCAATTTCCTGTTAAGCAGAACAGGAAGCGGAATAGACAGACCTCCAAAGGATACCTGATCAACCAGGCTGTGACTCGTACGTCAGGCTGCGAGCAGCCGCGTCCAACAGCCTGGTTGATCAGTCCGGCAACCAGGAGGCCTGGTCGACGACCGGGCCGCGGGGACGCTAAGCCCCGGAAGCACCTCAAGGTAAGGTAGGACCCAAGTCCAAGCAGAGTGACACTTTCTCTGTACGTGTTGACTACCTGTTGATTCGCAGTATCAACCTCCCCAGGGCCCGACCCGGCCTCCTGGTCGCTGGTCTGATCAACCTGGCTGTTCGATGAGGCTGCTTGCGGCCCGACGTACGAACCACAGCCTGGTTGATAGGGTATCCTCAGTAACCCAACACGTGCCCTCGGACATGGGATTCTTCGCACCGCTACTGACAATGTAGCCGTGCTTGTCAGTGTACGTGTGTAGCGACGCACCGCGGGAGAGCACCAGGCACCGCGGGAGAGCACCAGGCACCGCAGGAGAGCACCAGGCACCGCGGGAGAGCACCAGGCACCGCGGGAGAGCACCAGGCACCGCGGGAGAGCACGAGGCACCGCGGGAGAGCACAAGGCACCGCGGGAGAGCACCAGGCACCGCAGGAGAGCACGACGCACCGCGGGAGAGCACCAGGCACCGCGGGAGAGCACCAGGCACCGCGGGAGAGCACCAGGCACCGCAGGAGAGCACCAGGCACCGCGGGAGAGCACCAGGCACCACGGGAGAGCCGACTAGATCTTGAGCCAGGTGTTAACATGACGCCGTGGGACAATCTTTCAACCCGTGAGGTAAACACTCCTCCAGCGCCATCTCTAAGACACGCCCGGAAGCCTGGTCGTTCACATCTAGCACAGTGGTCGTCGTCGTCGTCGCCCCCACACCTGCGCGGGTCGCAGCACCACGTCAGATCTCTAAGCATTTGATGTGTACCATTCCATAGCTCCAAAACTAAAAACCTCTGGTGCAAACAGCTTTCTCATACCTGTAATACGCGTATTGACAGCTGCTCATTTCCGTCGCCACCGCCGCCGCCACCCCACGCGACACTTTCTTTTCCCGCTGACGGCATCATATGTGGCCGGGGAACATGTGTACGTACCAACCAAAACACCGACCTTACCTAACCTACTTAGTATGTTAAGATAAGCATCTTATTGCTTCGTAATTACAATTATTACCTATCCTATACCTATAATAGGTTAAGTAACAATTGTAATTACGAAGCTATAAGATGCTTATTTTAACATACTAAGTAGGTTAGGTAAGGTCGGTGTTTTCTATGAAGCTTTTCAAGGGAAACTATTATGTTTAGTATGTCACCTATGCACGCAACTAATAAGTCAATATTGACTTATTAAATTTGTGAGAACGGGTTGGTACGTACGCCTGGACACCCCAGGGTATGATTGTGTACACATGGGTATGTGTACACAACATTGTGCTTATACAGATGCCCATCCACACAATTTTTGGGTATAGCGAATAAGCAAAAAAAAACTGATTAAATAAAATGCACGCAAAGTAGACAGAGACAGACAGACAGACAGAAACACGTACACAGACAGTACTGGGAAAAAGAGGACCCCGACGAGCGTAGTGTAGTTACAGGATGAAACATCCTGTAACTACGCAAGATCATTAGGAAGACATACTAGGAGAGGGTTCTGGGAGTTCTTCTACCCCCCGAGCCCGGCCTGAGGCCAGGCTCGACTTGTAATAACTTGATCCAACAGCCTATGGTTAGCTAAACTATACCTAATGTCATCAAAGCTACTAGTCACGGGCGACTAGTTCCTCTCGAACTGTTCGCTTCGATTTGTTTTTGTTTTTCGTGCATTTTGGAATATATTTGTTGGCCGAAAGTTAACAGTTAACATGACTCCAGTCGCGCTTTAATGGTTTTTCGTCGAAAGGCGCATTACAGGAAATAGTAACGTTCCTCTGACAAAAAGTAGTTCCCATTTTGACAGGACGGGACAGTTTGTTATTATCATAATCATGATGTTAATGTGGCGCTTATCAAGATAAGGTATCTAGGTACATGGCTTCTCACTTATATCTTGTGTTTATCTGTGTTTGGCATCAGTTTAAAGGATGTGGTGACATGCTTTCACATAACACTAATGGATGGTAAGTATTTGTGTGGTATTATCAGTATAAGAATGTTATTACTATTTGCGTCTGCAGAATCGGGCTTTTAGCTTTTGAACACAGCTTTCTAATCTATCTGTGTGTGTGTGTGTGTGTGTGTGTGTGTGTGTGTGTGTGTGTGTGTGTGTGTGTGTGTGTGTGTGTGTGTGTGTGTGTGTGTGTGTGTGTGTGTGTGTGTGTTCAACTGGTACTCATATAGTTGTGCTTGCAGGGTTGAGCTCTGGCTCTTTGTTCTTGCCTCTCACCTGTCAATGAACTGATGTACAGATTCCCGAGTCTATGGGCTCTATCATATCTACATTTGAAACTTACTTACTCTTATATGCTTACTTGAGAACCATATAAGAGGAGCCGTTTACCTGGATGGGAAAGTTTTTCTTCTTGTAATAGAAGTGGTGATCCTTATGCTGATTGACATTCACTTAAAGGGCGTCGTACATATAGATCTTAAGTCCACCAACATTATGACAGATCTGAGCGACCCAAGGAAACTTAAGGCCTCCATCCTAGACTTCAGGGTCTCCACTTTACTTGGACAATTTTCCCCTTTTGGAAGTTCGTTGAAAAATTAAGTGGCTGAAGTGCTGAATGAGTGTCCGTGGTACTCGTATGAGACGATTATAGGGGTTGCCTCTCACCGTTAGCAGTGACATCGTGGGATTATCAGGTATGATACTCAAAGTTCTTGAAGCTTCATTATTGGAGCGATGTATCTCAAGTTAACTTGTGACACTTGTAAAACTAAGGATGAGGCGGCATAAGGAAAGGAGACCAATTATAAAAGACTTCTTGCCCGCTACCCAGGATATTATCCAGTATTATTGACATCCCACCAATTGTGAGCGAGCTGCTTGGCTTCACCCATCCTTATCGTGAATAAAAAATAAATAAATATTATATATTATAAATATATATGTAACTGGTATCTACAAATAACAGGTATCTACAAATAGACGGAATAGCAATAGGCTCTCCCCTAGGAGTGTTATTTGATAATCTGTACATGGGAACCATCGAAGATAGATTCTTTAGTAGTAGACAAAAACCAATTGATACTGCTGTTATGTAGATGACATATTCGTCATAGTAAAATACCCGGATGAACTAATTGATCTAAAAAGTCATCTAGAGAGAGAGTCAGTACTCCGTTTTACCCATGAAAATAGGGAAAATAACAGTCTGCCATTCCTGGATGTACTAATAACAAAAACAGGAGCCTCTCTAAGCACCAGTGTATATACTAAGCCTACAAACATAGGATTATGCCTAAACGGTAGGAATGAGTACTCCCAAAGATAAAAAGCCAGTGTTCTCAACACTTATGTTCGTCGAGCCCTCTTCCCACTGCTCTGAATGGAGCAACACGAGTAGGGAGTTTGCAAAATAACTCAGGTGTTGGTCCTTTTTTTTCCTATGAATATGAGGTTTCAAGACTAGGACGCAGGAAATATTCTAGATGTAGTTAAATCTCTCTACAGACAGATTCTCTTGGTGGTTGTCCTAGGTACAACAGGTTGAAATTAAAATTTCGCTCAATGAAATCAGGCCGTAGAGTGGGGAGATATTAGGGTATAAATGGTACATCTTAATGTGGCTCCAGTCACGCGTTTTGATGATTTCTGTAAATGGGCCCAATATTATAAGAAACAGTTGTGAAAATCGGATGGGGGGTCTCAATAATTGCTAATATTTCATAAAGCATTTGCAGACTCCGACCAGCCTATGTTTATCCCGTACCCTAGAACATTTCCCCTGCAAAGTTGGGTATTGCCAGCCCCAAGCGGCTGTACCTAAAATAAGCCACTAGTACGTTCACTTTGTATATTGTATGAGTATAATGATTATTATATGTCAAATTTAATATTAAAGAATATATGTATTAGCAAGTAACGTCTTAACATTACTTCATTACGTCTAACGTCCCTTGTGTTTGATAAGCTATACAAGCTTATTAAATTTGTCTGCTCAAGTTATATAACATTCTGTAGATTTAGAAAGTCTTTAGTAAAAGTATCATCACTCGAATTTCATACTGTTTCGTTTAGCAATGTCTCACCACTGATTGTAAACTACATTCTATTATGTTCTACATGCTACATTATTTTACAGCTGTGTACCTGTTCAGTTCAGGAAGAATTCTAACAATCTTGATGAATTTGTGAGGGAAAAAGACTTGTCATCCCAGAATTCTTCTTCAGCCTGATGAAGGGAGAGGTTTACCTTACACGTTGATTCAGAGGATCAACGTCTCCGCGGCCCGGTCTCTGACCAGGCCTCCTGGTTGCAGGTCTGATCAATGCCGCTACTCGCAGCCTGGCGTACACTGAAGGCAGAACCTTATGGTACCACAGTCCAACCTTAAACAGGTTTATAATACCATGTAACAGTATCATCATACACATTAGGAATGTGACGGCTGAGAGGACAGCGCTCGGGATTCATAGTCCTAAGGGTCCGGGTTCGATGCCCCTGTTCACCTAGCAATAAATAGGTGTGTGAGATTGACAGTTGAGAGGCGGTCCCAAAGATCCACAGCTCAACCCCCGCAAGCACAACTAGGGGAGTACACAACCTTAAGGCTACTGAACAACATGTGAAGTAAGTTGTAATTAGACGATGAAGCGACGACTGGTGGCCCGGGGCGTATGGCTCATGTTGCCGGCTCGTTAATGGCTGACACAGGACGGCTCACACCCTGGCCGTGCTGGGGCCCCCACCTGCCCCCCCCCCTGGCCGTGCTGGGGCCCCCACCTGGCCGTGCTGGGGCCCCCACCTGGCCGTGCTGAGGCCCCCACCTGCCTCCCCCCCCCCTGGCCGTGCTGGTGCCCCCACCTGCCCCCATTCCCTGGCCGTGCTGAGGGCCCCCACGTTCCCCCCCCCCCCTCCTGGGCCCACCGGCGCCAGCCCACTTGGTGAAAATGGAAAAGGTTAAAGCGATGCCGTGTCATGCTGATTGGCTGTGTGAATAATGCATGAGAGTCTGGCCTCCATGACCATATCACGCCACACTATCGGTAGCCAGCCACACCATTCGCGACCCCGGCCAGCCACACCATTCGCGACCCCGGCCAGCCACACCATTCGCGACCCCGGCCAGCCACACCATTCGCGACCCCGGCCAGCCACACCATTCGCGACCCCGGCCAGCCACACCACCACCACCACTCCAAGCCGTCACACTACACTATTAAGGCGCCACCCTACATCTAAGTCTAAGTCTAAGGTACACATCTAAGCAGCAGTAAGCCACACCACACAAGCTTGTGAACACAGTCACGGGGTCACCGGGAGAGAGAGTACATGACCCCGATCACTCTGGTGCGTCACTGGCGCCCAGGACTGACAACCGCCAGCCTACGACCCGACTACAATGAACACCGACCAGTACAAGTGAATACAACTGATACTGAGAAATACAACGCTACGACACCGTGATATTTCCTGACTCGGGGCGCCATATTCAGGCCCAGGAGCTAGAGCCACAAGGTATCATGCCTGTCCAGTTGGAGCCGTGATTATTAATTGCAATACAAAGACGTCAGAGGATAAGGACTGTGAATAGATGTTGCTCTGCAACTTAAAAAGAAAGGAAAATTACCATTCGTGTCCCGCCATTGTTGCCGGGAAGAATGGTCTGCTGCGGCGTTGTCTAATCCATTGCCACAGTCGTGAGAAGCGACGGGGAGGGTTCGCGGGGTGATGGAGGGCGAGCGTGGACCAGGGGCGTAGCCGGATAATAATTTAGAAGCACAAATGCGGTTGTATCGGCTGC